CTTTATAAATCTTAGTCTCTAGTGGTTTAGCGTATCTGTCGTACGCACGTTCACAAGAGAGTGGCGTCCAGTGCATGACGTAGGAAAAAGCGGTGACGAACGCGCAAATGACGAACGTGGAAGCGCAGAGGAGAGAGCAAAACAAAACACTGGTCACGAATTAGAAGTACAAAACGAGGATTTGTAAAGAAAAATGTCGGAGGATTTCAGTATAAGCCAAGAGGACACTGGTTTTCCTTTGCTGTAAACAAATCTTGTTTCTCGGGAGACTAGCATATTCTCACCGGAGCTTACGCTACGCCTACGTCCTACGTCATCCGCTGGAATATCACTCTCTCATAAACGCGAGTACGACAGTTAGCAGAAGCTAGAGATTGCGGTTTATAAAGTTTTAAATATGGATATTTTTCTGACACAAATGCCTCGCTTCGCTTCAGAAGGCTTTTATTAACCCCCCTGGAGCTGTGTGGACTACTTTTTATAATGGATGGATGTACTTTTTGGGCTTCAAAACCTTGAACCCCATTCACTGCCATTATAAAGCTTGGAAGAAAGCCAGGATAATAAAAATTTTTAACCTAACACTGATTGTATTTGTCTGAAAGAAGAAAGTCATATACACCTAGGGTGGCTTGAGGGTGAGTAAATCATGGGGTAATTTTCATTTTTGAGGATTTGTAAAGAAAAATGTCGGAGGATTTCAGTATAAGCCAAGAGGACACTGGTTTTCCTTTGCTGTAAACAAATCTTGTTTCTCGGGAGACTAGCATATTCTCACCGGAGCTTACGCTACGCCTACGTCCTACGTCTTACACTGGAAGCCACTCTCTTGTGAATGCGCGTACAACAGTTAGCGGAAGCTAGAAATTAAGATTTATAAAGTTGTAAATATGGATATTTTTCTTACACAAACGCATCGATTCGATTATTAATAATGCGACGCTGCACTGAACAAGGAAGAGTGGCGCTCGCGCACCGGGCTTTATTATTAGGGGATCTACCAACCTACATTCTAAACTCTAAATAATCTACATAGACAAACTTCGACACATATAAGATCAGTTATATTATAATAATGAAGCACTTTTTAAAGTTCTGAGTATGCATTCTTCAGAAGGCCTTTATTAAACCCCCGGAGCTGTGTGGACATCTTTTATAGTGGATGGGTGCAATTTTTTGGACTTAAAATTTTGGGCTACCATCCACTCCCATTGTAAAGCAAGGATTAGCCTGGACATTGTTTAATATAACTTCGATTGTATTCGTCTGAAAGAAGAATGTCATATACACCTAGGATGGCTTGAGGGTGAGTAAATCATGGGGTAATTTTCATTTTTGTGTGAACTATCCCTTTAAGTGATGATATATGCTTAGAAGCCGCAAGGCAATGTGATTAAAATTGTGTTTAATACAGTAGCTCAGTTCTGGGTGTAGAACTACACTACCCATAATTCAGAAAAGAGCTCCACCAATCAGAGAACTTACAATTACCATGGAAATATAATCACTCCAAATAAGCCCAGAAGTGACCACTCATTCTCATAAAGCATTGCGAATGACTCAATTAATCAGTCTGACTATTAAGCTACTAATTAAATTTTTAACAATAATAGTTTTTTTTTTTTGTATTTAAGTAGTTAGTTCTGTATTGTTTCTGATTAGATTACATCATTTGCAGTGCTTCATGGAATGTGTAGTTCATTTCTTATTAAAGGGGTCATATGATGCAATTTCAATTTTTCCTTTCTCTGTGGAGTGTTATAAGCTCTTGGTGCATAAAGAAGATCTGTAAAGTTGCAAAGAGTAAAGTCTAAAATCCAAAGAGATATTCTTTATAAAAGTTAAGAGTCAACCACGCCTACCTAAAACGGCTCATTCTAACATGTCTACATTGCAATGTGGGAAGATTTGCATAACGCCGCCCAAATGTTCACGCAAAGAAAGAAGGCGTAACTTTGATTCTCGCTGTAGTATTGTTGTTTAATGTTTTTGTCTCTTCGCTCCGGCCGGGACACGGCATCATAATATGGTAAGGGGCATAACATTTCCGTCACACGCTTGAGGTATTCGGCCAATCACAACACACTGGATAGCTGGCCAATCAGAGCACACCTTGCTTTTCAGACCGATGAGCTTTGTAAAAATCGACGCGTTTCAGAAAGGCGGGGCATAGAGGAGAAACAATAATGTACTGTATGTGGAAAATAGTGTGTTTTTTTAACCGTAAACCGCATAAACAGATTTCATTACACCAAATACACAAAATAATGTTCTTTTTAGCAACATCATATGACCCCTTTAAAACAATTAAAGACTCATTCACGGCTTAGACCTCTATTGAAGATTTTTTAATCCCTGTGGAGAAAATGAATAGGAAAAATACTTCTGGAATCCAGGCCACTGAAAATGTGGGCACTCTTAGGGTCACTGTGGGCTCTATTTGCTGTGTAAAATGCTACATTTTGCATTTGGTAACATTAGGAAAGAGCAAACAGTGTCTAATAAGGATCTGTAAACTGATCTTTCTAAATGTTACATTTAGCAGTACAAAGAAAGACATTAATATAATACTTTTTAATGGTTTGAGCCCAGTATACGTTTAAATGTGCAATACTTTTAAATGTGCAATACAGTGTTTTTAATAACATAATTTTACTCTCTTTCTACAGGGCTCCAGCTCTTTCCTGGTGGTCATGGTGATATTACTCAACATTGGTGTAGCCATTTTGTTCATCCATTTCTTTATTTAATCATATGGCCTATAGAATGTCAATAACAGCATTGATTAACATCAAGAGTAAGATATGCACACAATGCACACTTAGCACCACTTCTTAATATAAGGAACCCAGAAATCACAATAGTAAATGTCTGTGTAAGTTGGGCAAGTCCATGTAAATTGTAAACTTCTTTTATGGTTCAATTTATTATATAACTCCATTATAATCCATTAGTTAACTTTGCTTACTTTTTTCCTCCATTCATAATAAAGGTTCATTTACAATATTCTGTAGAACTGAAGTATTACACACATTTAGGTTTTTTTAATATACAGCTTGTCTGATATGTTTTACCACATATTTAACAGTTACAAAAGATTATTTCACACTTATTTGTTTTCTTTTCAAATGCACATCAGGCCTGAGACATTATTGAGTAACGGGACTCTGAAGATTAATGTGCAAAGATGGTCATGTGGATTTATGTACTATGATATAGTTGATGTAAGATGCGATTCACACTTCTATATAACCAAGACTACGCCCTTCCCCCCTCCCACTGTATTCCAGGGTACAGCCCTGTATGATCGCTGCAGGCGCTCATTGTGTCATCCATAGAAATCAACCCTCTCATCTGCATACCCAGATTTGACGCACCTGTAAGTCTGTGGTAACAGCTATCTTAAAGGGCTTCATCATAGTGCTTTCCCATTAAACTCATGCAGTTTGAATCAGATAAGCCTGCATAATTCTTTCCACACTTATGAATTCCGCCTCACTGAATTTCAGCACAATCCAGTCGTGTAGTTTGTTTTGACTCACCGATAACACATTCACCATTGAAACACTGCTATGTCAAACTCACTACTAAAGAACCTTCTGTGTTTTCTTGTACACCACATGATGTCACATCTGCTATAGGACATAAAAGTACAACAGATGTGCAGCAGTGACTGAGTATTCCGGCTCATACTCGATAAAGTCTGAGACTGTTACCTTATGACCACTGCTTTCAATATATGTTATTCTATATTACTGAACAGTTAACATATTTTAACAAGTTTGCAAGATATCATTGATATGCTGAGTGCCTTTTTTAATTGAGAAACCATCCCAGCGAGCAGGTTATGTACTGATGACCACTCATACAGTGGTCACATGAAATGGTTTGTTTCTGTCCCACCCCACCTTTGAACAAATCAAGTTGGCTTAAGAACTGAGCCTAAGCCTGTGTAGAGTTTTACAGCATGTTTGTTAGCCTGTTCTCTTCTGCTGTTACTCTGTGTGATTTTTTGCCTGTCTCTCTGTCCAGCAACTTAGATAACAACTGGGACTGAAAGAAGTGTAAAAATACCAGCTTATGTTTCTCAGTGGGACCTGACTGACATTATCTAAATTAATGAATGATAAACTGCTATTGTACATTTTATACTACTCATCCAGTGATATCATGCTGTGAGATCATTGCATGCCTAAGCATGCCCTTTCTTACGCAATGATTTATGAGATTGTTTCCAAGTTATGTGGAAAATTAATAAAATGTTTGAGGTTATGTTGTGCCTTATATTTGTCAAAGAAAACATTCACACAAAAAACACAATCTTCCATTTTTATATCAGACGTGGATTTGGTTATCAACAAATAAAGGAGCCCATTGAAATTGAAATGCTAAATATGGAGTTTGTAGTCCCACCTTATAACAGTGCCAAAATTATTGTTGAAAGCAGCATCACAATGCCCAGTATAGTGGCTATAGGACTGAAAGTCCCACCTTACAGTTAAAAGAGCCAGTCTTATGTTTGTTTATTCTAGTGTACATTAGCTGAACTAGCCTAATAGATACGTTTGAAGTTTTGTGTTATTTAAGCCACTTTTGAAGTGGTATTTATGATTTCACTGTTGACAGATTTAATTTCTGACATAATCTTGACCAAAACTTGTTTCAGGTTTCAAGCTTTCTTCGTTCAAGTAGATGTAGCTGTGTATGCATGACTGGAAATATGTATTTGAAAGGACTCATCAGGGCCGTAACCACCTTGAGTCATTTTAAATATTATTATTTTTTATAATATATACCCCTAAAACCCCTTAAACCTTGAATATTTGGTTACATCCTTGATTAGACTACTGTGTTGTCTTTCTGTAAATATTTCACCTAGCACCACAAAGTGTATGGGATACACTGATCAACATCCCAATACACCCAGAATAAAGGTATAGCAATAATACATTTCAATTTAACATATATATTCATACATAAATATTCCCAGAAAAACACTCAAACCATGAGCAAGTTTACCCAAAAGTCTTGAACCTCTCTACAAGACTGTTCGTTTCATTTGTTACCTTTCCAATGAACTGACCATCACTTGTTCGAACATTTTTGTGCAATCAGATCCCAAAGTGCTGATCCCTGAAAGCTGAATTTATACATGTACAGTGGAAGAATGACAGAAGCATGGCAACAGCAACATGCAGTGGCCCCTCCTCCCGTTGGGCACCCCCTTCTACAAGGGGCAGAGAATGCCTTGGGCAGTGCTGCATATGGCATTGTCCTACAGGCAGACCCTGCTTTACAGCAGTCACAGCACAGCCAGCATGGACAGCAGCACCCGTTGCCAGCTCAGCAGCCTCAGCTGCAGGTGGGAGGTGAAGGTGGCCACAAATGCGGTGCGTGTGGCCATGATATTTCGCACTTGGCCAATCCCCATGAGCACCAGTGCATGGTTAACCAGGACCGTTCTTTCCAGTGCACTCAGTGCATGAAGATCTTCAACCAAGCAACGGATCTTCTAGAGCATCAGTGTGTCCAGGTTGAGCAGAAGCCATTTGTGTGTGGTGTGTGCAAAATGGGATTCTCCCTTCTCACGTCTTTGGCACAACATCATAATGAGCACACCAATGGAAACAGTCCAATGAAGTGCTCTATTTGTGAAAAAACATACCGCCCAGACTCCTCCTCTTCTAACCCTCAGCAACCCTCTACTGCTGAGACATCCAGTGATGGGGCAGCCATGGGTTCCTCTTCCTCTACAGCTTTCCAGGGCTCTGACCGTCCATATAAGTGCTCCGTGTGCAATAAGGCATTTCGTCACCTTTCGGAACTCTCACGGCATGAAAGAGTGCACACGGGCGAGAAGCCCTACAAGTGCGACACTTGTGAGAAGACCTTTAGTCAAGCTTCTCATCTGGCGCACCACCAGCGCACTCACAGTGCAGATCGCCCGTATAAATGTGCCGTTTGCGAGAAGACCTTCAAGCACAGGCAGCACCTGGTACGGCACATGTACGCTCACTCTGGCGAGCACCTTTTCAAGTGCAACCTGTGTGAGCTTCATTTCAAGGAGTCGTCCGAACTGCTACACCACCAGTGCCAGCCAGCTGGAGAGCGTCCCTTCCGCTGCGCAGCATGTGGGAAAAGCTTCAAACGGCCCTCGGACCTGAGGCAGCATGAGCGCACCCACTCTGAAGAGCGGCCTTTCCAATGTGAGGAGTGTCAGATGAGCTTCAAGCAGCAGTACGCACTTGTTCGCCACCGCCGTACACACAAAAACCCAGCAGATCGCCCTTTCAAGTGCAATCAGTGTGACAAAGGTTTCCTGCAACCTTCCCACCTGCTGTACCACCAGCATGTCCATGGCATCGAGAGTCTGTTCAAATGTGCCGCTTGCCAAAAGGGCTTCAGACAATCCGGGGAACTACTAAGGCACAAGTGTACAGAATCGAACTCTGGATCGAACGCTGTGGAGAAGCCGTACAAGTGCGACGTGTGTGGGAAGGGCTACAAAAAGTCGTCAACATTACAGAGGCACCAGAACTCCCATTGCACCGAAAAACCACTGAAGTGCTCGCTCTGCGGCCGCCGCTTCCAGTCCTCGTCTGATTTTGTGCAGCACCGTTGCGACCCTGCTCGGGAGAAGCCGATGAAATGCGCAGACTGCGAGAGGCGCTTTAAGTATTCATCCGAGTTGCAGAGACATCGAAGAGTCCATACAGGAGAGAAACCCTTCAAGTGTCCCACCTGTGACAAGGGATTCAAACAGCGCGAACACTTGGCTAAACATGGCATTGTCCACTCCCGTGAAGCCCAGTTCAAGTGTGTCTGGTGTGGAGAGTGTTTTGGAGAGCTTGGGGCCCTTCAAGAACATACAGTTCAACACACTGCAGAAGGAGGGGGCTATCCTGCGTCCTCATGCATAGAGTAGTTACTGTCTGCTCTTGCTCCTTACCGAGTGAAAATACACTCTGCTCGCATTAGCAACACTGCAATTTACTTGCATATATTTAGTGAAATTGTAAATTTTATATATCCCACAAGCATTGCAGTACTTGTTGGACTGGTAAGGAACTACATAAAGTGTCAGCTTGTAAAAGTCTTGATGTACCTCTGGGTAGATATTGGCAACATTGCGTTTACTCCACAGACAGAAACTTGCCTCAGTTCTGTACCAGCCACACAGACGAACATAACCACACGCATAAATGGTTGCTACTCAAAAATAAGCTTGTAAAAATGAACAATTTTGTCTCATGTGCAACTCCTTCTGCTTAAGACTGGTGTTTCCAACAAAGGAAAAGCTGATCAGTTTTACAAGGAACTAAAGATTTAGTTTTAAATTTAGTTTAGTGCTTTATATCTAAAATTCAGTATATCTAAAACAAGAAGAAAATGCAGTAGTACAGCTATCAGTGACAGCTTTTCCAGAATGACATAAATTGGTATGCAAGATCTTAACCTGGATTTGCTTTTTGGTCTTTATATGATTGACCACAACTAGATGTTTCATTGCATTGGTTTTGTTTATTATTTTTTTTTTTTTTTCTAATTATTTGGCCTTGTAACTTTTAAATTAACTGCCTTTCTTCCAGTATCTCCATCTCATGCTTCCATGTTAGCTGTGGAACTTGAACACTATATGGCCATCTGGACAATATACAGTAGTGATTGTATGTATTCGTAATGTATAACTCCCATCACCTAACCCATACTGTAACAGGGTATATGTATGCATGAATAGCCTAAATAATTTATACAGTTTGTTGTAATCTGTCATTAACTTGTAGGCAAAGGACTACACAAAAAAATATTAGCCATTCTTTTTCTCTAGAGCATTTTGACTCATCTCTAACAATGACGCAATAGTTTGCAAGCAGTTCCAAGAGTAAATTTACAGTAGTACAAAGATTTAGTTACTTTTTAACTGCCAGGCAACAGAACAACAATGCAGTATTTTTGTTTGCAAATTGCAAACAGATGCTGTTGCGTTAGCTAAACAATGCTGTAGAATTTGTAAAGTTATCTGTACATGGATGTTTTGTATCGCTTCGACATGAGTGCAGTGCTAGGATTTAGTATCTGTTTGTGTATCATCATACTGTAGACTGCATGTGATTGTTTCCTCTTGTGAGGATATGTTGGTTCTGTTTTGGTGGATTATTATTTTGCCACAGACAACTTGTTCTGTTTCTTTGCCACAAATTTTTTCTTTGCTTTCTGCTTTAGAAACAAAACGCCATGAATCAGTTGGTATGTCATTTTGTGCTTTCCTAATTGGATCCGTTAACAGTAGAACCTTTATTTTGGGTTAAAATGCTGAACCACAGATAGATGTGCAAATTTGGATGCAAATTGCACAGGAGCTTTTGTAATTATAAAAAAATAAACATTTTAAACAAATTCAAGAGTACAATTACATTACATGTTTAAAAAAATCTAAAAACACAGTATTAAGTAGTAGTGGAGTGTTTTTTAACTTTAAAAACATCTTAAAATGCAGTGTCTAAATGTCTAAGCATATTGATTGAATTCATATTAATTATACATTGTATGATCCTAACAGCTTGAATGTAAAGATTGCAAACATTTAGTTTTCCCTTTCGATGCCACTGTAAGCCTTATTAACATTAATGGCTTATGTGTCAGTATTGTTTGTTCTGTTACAGATGTGTGAACTCCTATTTTCATGCGCATTAAATGCAGAGACTGAATGGTGTCGTTGCTGTGAGGCAATATTTTTGATGTCGAGACTTAGCGGGTTAAGTCAAATAAATTATGTTTTTTGTATTTGAGCAAAAATAGAGGTTATCCCACCATTTAGCATTTCCTCCTGTATGCCATCCCTTTAAATGTCTGTGTTTCAGTGGAGAGACTAAAATTGTAAATATGCCATGTGTGTGTTTTTTTTTCCTTATCACAAAGGTGTGGCATGTCATAAGGCATTTACAAATTAAATGTTTGTAAACAGCTGTTGTATTATTTGTGAACCAAATGGTAAAATGACTACATACCACGTTGAACTTTAAGACTGATTTGTCTGTAAAAGTGTAGACTCTTCAGTCTAGTGCAGGGGTGTCAAACTCAGCCCTGCAGAGTTTTGTTCCAACCCTGCTCCAACACACATACCATGTAGTTTTCAAATAAGCCTGAAGGACTTGATTAGTTGGATCAGGTGTGTTTAATTAGGGTTGAATCTAAACTCTGCAGGGCTCTGGCCCTCCAGGAACTGAGTTTGACACCCCTGGTCTAGTGAAATGTTAAAGAGAACAATATAATGGGAACATTAATTAGATATCCTACATTTATGTTTTTCTTTCTTTATTTTTTAACAATTGAAACTTTAACACCTGTTATTGTTACACCACTTTATATTTGTAAAAGGTATCAAACTTTAGTATAACTTGCAGTACAAGTTTATGGTATTAATGATGTAATGCGGTATTTGGTACATATACATCTTACAATCACTACAAACAAATTATAGAAATAAAAATAATAGTTAAAGCAGAAGTACTGCTGTTTGGGATTCCACAATTTTAAAATTCAGTTGCGGTTTTAATTTCATACCACTCAATTTGAGGGCTTTTATTTTGAAAAAGGTACCGGAAGTATATAAAGTATTTCCGGTGACTCCATCTATGCGATCGCAAAAATCGACAGGAGTGCTATCTTAGGGGTGATATCCGCCTACCAGTCAGCGGTTCCCTCGATCGCTTTCTGAATCTAATTAGTGGATCACTGGGAGGAATTGGGACACTCCATTTGAAGAGTAATCGAAAATCTGGAGTCTTGTGTGTCGAAGTTGTTGTGGCCAATTAAACCGATCCATAGATATCGCTAGCTTCGTTAGCGCGTTTATCCGGAGGGAACGCTTTTAAAGTGAGACTGCTGAACCGCTGTAATGAATATGATAAGAAACAGATGATCAAACGCTGTTCACGTCCCGAGACAATCGATCAAGTCGAAATTTCGGTTGCTTCACGTTATTTATGCTCCTTTTTACTGCGTAGCGACATTCAGCGGGCTTGACAGGTCTGTGCTTCAATTAAATATTTTTCAATCCCCTCCCCTTGCATCACTGTTTATTTAGATGCAAAATACGAGGGCTGCGACAGACAATAATATATTATATTACGACATATATTACGATCCTGTTAAAGCTGTTACTTTGTTTATTTTTACATTTGTTTACAAGCGGACACATCTATCTTATTAGGCTGCCTCGATGGGCATCATGAAATCCTGACTTTTAATTATTTAAAAAGCTGGCAGTCTGTCAGAAAATAAGCTGGTTTCTGCAGCGTTTCGGACGCCCATTGCTTTTGGCTTTGAGTGGCGCGAGCGTCAGCGCGAGGTCATGCGTGCCGCTGCTGAGCAGCTGCCAATCACAATTGCTCGCGAGAGATCGCATTGAAGCGGCTTCTTACATTGTTTTACGGTACCACAGCACTTTCTGCAGTATTTCACAACAGAGACGGTCGACTTGTCGCTATCGCTTGGAGCGTATCGTAGTAGTAGGTGGAGGGAAGGCGGATTGACTGGCCAAACCCGCCATGCCCGGTCCGGTGAGCAGCAAAGCACGGGTGTATGCTGATGCCAACACTGTGAAGAGCAAGGAGTACTGGGACTATGAAGCACATGTGCCTAGCTGGAGGTACAGAAATGATTAGCCCCTACAGAGATATAGAGATTATTTTAGCATGATTTCCTTGCCAAAAAAAAAAGTACTGTGGTTGATTGAATGGTACTTGATTGACTAACATGTGTAGTAGAGTACATGGTAACCCAGGATACTTAAAAAGCACGGTAGTTGTTGACAAAAAAGTGTCATCATGGTCTTACCACATTACTTATTAAATGGATAAACTATTTTGCACAATTTTATTTATTTCGTGCTTACTGTGTCTAATTCAGCAACCAGGATGACTACCAGCTTGTACGAAAGCTCGGAAGAGGCAAATACAGTGAAGTGTTTGAGGCCATCAACATTAACAGCAACGACAGAGTAGTTGTTAAAATCCTGAAGGTAAGAATGCCTGGTCTCATTGCCTGAGCATGAGGTGGAAACAATTTCTTAAAGAGATAGTTCACCCATAAATGATAATTTTGTCATAATTTGTGTCATGTCATTCCAAACCCTATCCAGGCTTTCAAAAGAAAAAATATGATTGTTCTCCATCTCCAATAAACATAGAGCACATTAAATACGGTAAACAGAGGCTAAAACATGCTTGCTTGAAGTTCAGGAGCTGATGATGTTTGTTATTACGCGGCAAGAATGCACAGTTGAGTTTACCCTATTTAATGTGCTTTAAGAATGTGCGCTAATCAATGTGAATAAAAGCTTAAATATATTTGTCTTATGCTGTGTTTATGTCTCTTTGGAAGACTTTGGATGACACCACTCAATTCACATGGATAACTTTTACAGTATCTGTTGATTACATAGACTTCCAGTAGTTGGACAGAAATGAGACAATATTAACGTTTTTTTTTTGTAATTTTCATCTTTAGCTGAGCTAACCTTTTATTATTTTTTTCTTTACTCTTGCAGCCTGTTAAGAAGAAGAAGATTAAGCGCGAGATAAAAATTTTGGAGAACTTAAGAGGAGGAACCAACATCATTCGTCTTGTAGACACAGTGAAGGACCCTGTGGTAAATTTAGCTGTAATAGTATATGCAGCGGTTTTCTACAGAATGTTTTTGCAAAATTAGGCTTAACTTATTTTAAAATATTACATAATATATTATTAGCAGGCCCATACAGAAAACGTGTCTGCAAATTTCTATAGAATTGGATTTTGGATTTCGCAAAATATTTACCATTAAGACTGTAGTACCTTTCAGCTCCATTTAAAGGGGTCCTATTATGCTTTTTCACTTTTTTAATTTTAGTCAGTGTGTATGTTTGGGCATAAAAAAGATCTAGAAAGTTACAAATCTCAAAGTCCACGCCAAAGGGAGATATTTCGTTTTAAAAATATCCCTTTTCAAGAACTACAACGAATGGCTCGTTTGGACTACAGCGTTTGTTTTCCGGGCTTTGTGATATCACAAAGCGGCTCATTGGAATATCATTACAAATAATTCCTGCCTACGGAGATTCGAATGGTTGTGGGGGTGGGGAGGGGCGGGGCGAGGTTGTGGGTAGAACGCTTGGTTGAGTGAGTGCATCGTGCATCGGTGCGCGACCGCCTGAAATGCTGTTTTTTTTTTTACGTCCGTGCCCAAACGTCTTTGTTTGGGCTTCCGAAAGCGGATGATGTCAGGAAACAGTGGTTGCAATTTATTTTTTAACTCTGTTCCTGAGCATTATAACCCCAATTTGCTATTGTGTGCTGCGCATTTTACTGAGGACAGCTTCCACAACATCAGGGAGTACAGTGCCGGATTCGCCAAAAGTTTTTGTTGAAAGACGGAGCAAGGGGCGTGGCAGTAATGAAACACTGTCTAAGCTGTTCGCCAATTACAACTCACTGGGACAGCTAACCAATCGCAACCAAGACTTTGTAAAAGAGCATAATAGGACCCCTTTAACACATTGTATCATATTAAATCACTTACAGAATTGGCAGATTTGTTTTCCATTCTCCAAAGCATGACTGCTTCTAAATTAGGATTAATTTGTGTCAAAATGGTTAATCAAGGAAACCAACAGGCAGTGTCTATGTATTAGGGGTGTAAATCGGATGGTTCGTCACAATATGATATGATATCGATTCTCATACCCAGCGATACGATATTTGCAGATACCTCAAAAAATTCTACGATTTCGATACAATTAGATTCTGGGGTATATCGATCGATTTATCGATATTATATACCTATTTTAAACAACCATCTACATTTTTATTAACTTACAATTGCAACCAAAACATATAACATGAACATTGATCTGAAATGTCCACATCTTGTACCTCAATTGGGACATTCACAACAAAAAATAGGCCTACACTTTTTTTTTTTTTTTAAATAATAAAGAAAAATAAATAATTGGGGAAAAAAAATCAAGTCACATTTGAGATCAGTAATCTTATGACATGAGAACAGTCAAGAAAGTCTTTCAGGCTTCTGTGCTTAAATGTGCAATGTGTGAAATAGTGTAAATCCTCCTTAGGAAACAACAAAAACGAGGTTTGAACGAGAATGCACACGTTGATGGTAATGCATAGGTGGACATTGTGAGAAATTGTGGACAGTGCCAAAATACGTTTCCTATTAATACTACAAGTATCGATATTTTACGCATGGCATTGATGCATTGTATCGTTAGACATTTGATCGATGTATCGATCCATAGCGATGGATTGTTACACCCCTACTATGCATTAGGGCTGGGCAAAAAATCGAATGCGATTTTCATGCGAATCTCGTCAGTAAAGCCGCTTCTGGTGATTAGTAGTAAATCTCCAGCACGTGCTTTCAGATGGAGCGGCATTTACTACACAGAGCCGTAGTCCACTGACAAGCTACACAAAATCGCGTTCAAAATCGCAGGCGATTCATTGCCGATTCGATTTTTTGCACAGCCCTACTATGTATGCATTCCATCTTTGTATTGGTTGTATTTCTATGCTTTTTTTAAATGCTTTTTTCTTTCTTTTGGTATTCCACAGTCTAGAACGCCGGCCCTTGTGTTTGAGTACATCAATAACACAGATTTCAAGGTACCACGTTAAATTTTTTTTCTTATAATCTAGTTTTGTCTGATCTTATCTTGATCTCATCAATAAAAGGAGTTAAACTGAATTGTGCAACATTTAATATCTCGCATAATGTTGTTCTGATTTGCAGGATCTCTATCAGAGACTAACAGACTTTGATATCCGGTTCTACTTGTATGAACTTCTCAAGGTAAGAACACTGATGTAGCTGAAATAAGATTACACTTTCATTTATTTTGAACAGGAGAGTGCGTTATGTGCATGTGCTTTGTCTCTTTGCAAGGCACTGGACTACTCTCACAGCATGGGCATCATGCATCGGGATGTCAAACCTCATAATGTCATGATAGACCACCAGATGAGAAAGGTGAAGTACGATAACAGCACTGTGGATTTGTTTTTTGAATGTGTCCCTTGTTAGTGACTGCAGATCAATGTTGTATGTTATATGAACTGTTGTATGTGTTTTTTTTTTTTTAACTGGTGTAGTTGCGACTTATAGATTGGGGTCTTGCTGAGTTCTACCATCCAGCACAGGAATACAACGTAAGGGTCGCCTCAAGATCATATAAGGGACCAGAGCTGCTGGTTGACTATCAGGTATGTTATGTGTCTTTTATATCCATGGCCTTTTCATACTGTTTTGGGGAAAAAACACTTTAGGTTTATGTGGATTTGTACATGAATAGCTCCTAAAACGTGTCCCTTTTGTAAACATCACATATTTATTATGTGTAGCCCTATTCAGACATTAATTGTTTCTCACGGGGATGCAAGGTAATTTCAGCATTTAAAGGGGCTAATCAGTGGTTTTATTGCCATCTAAATCCAGAATTTCATTGGGTTTTTTTTCCGACCACCCATGTAAAAATTCCTCGCCAAATTTTTGAAAACATCAAGGTTGTGTGGTAATTTAATTGCCGTCTGAATCCACAAGAAGTGGATTAATCCAAAAGTCATTTTGTAAGTCATTTTTCACCGTACCTTAACTGTTGCACTTCGCGGTAATGTACATGCTTTTTAAATATGGACTTTTATTACTGAAATGCTGGAAACTGTTTACAAGAATAGTGTTATGCTACCACTACACTATAGTGAGTGGGAACTATTAAGAACTATTAAGAAGAAAAAGAAAACAGAACTAAATCATGTAAACTTTTGAAATGGGCCATTATTATTGTATGCAATACATTTTTAAAATGTTAATTATATGTTTATATATAGATTAGACGTGTGTGTGTGTATATATATATATATATATATATATATATATATTGTTATATATTGTTATATATTGTTATATATATATTGTTATATAAAGACATTTTATTTTTTATTTTTATTATTATTATTTTTTTCTCTATACAGTGGGTATAGAAAAGAATAACAACCCCCCCCCCCC